TGGGGTTCAGAAAGCGGTGTGATGCCACAGTCTGCTCGGCACCCAGCAACAGCCAAAGTCCTTGTCAGAACACCGTGTTCACAGCTATTTGCCTTTTTTTTTTTCCTACGAAAGGAAAATCGAGGGTCGCTCTCCGTGTGTCAAGCTGCGGGCAGGAGGCAGCAGCCAGGCAGCGCTATCGGGCAAGGAATGGCAGGGAGAAGCCACCGAGCGCTGGTGGCCCAGCAAATACTCACTGAATAATCCCAAACCGCCCCCAAGAGGCTGGTGTTCGGAAAAGGGCCTCCCAGAAGGAAAGACAACCAAAACCAAATCCGCTACCAGATCCTATATGTTTTCCTTGCGTTCGCCATAAGTCTCAGCTGGAGGGTCCAGGCAGGCGCATCACGGGGCCGCCGCGGGGGGAAAGGGGGAGGGGGGCACCCCTGGCGTGCGGCGACACGGGAGGGCGGGGGGGCTGTGGTGCCCCCTCCCACAGTGGGCGAGAGGGGCTGTGCCCCAGGGCGCCCCCATCCAGGCTTCTGTGGAAAAACACGGTTTGTGTCTAAGAGGGTTGTGAAACAGGTTGAGTAAGGGGCAGGTTCAGCCAGTGGGGGACACCCACAGCAGCACCCAAACCATGGTGCCAGACACTCCGAGCATCACTCTGCCTGTCAGAGGTTGCTCTGTGCAGGGCTGCACCAGTGAAGCTGCCTCACAAGACCGCCGATGCTGTTATTCTTCTCTGCTGGAAAAAAGGGAGAAAGATGCTTCTCCACTACAGACAAACATCTGGCTGCAGCTGTGTGGTGCAGGACTCAGCCCAAGTTTCCTTGGGTGCTCAGGTTCCGAGGGCACCACATTTTCCCCTTCAGACGCAGCCAGTCACCTACCAAGTGCCCAGGAGCATCTGCCACCAGCTCTGTCCCTCCTGCTCCCATGGACACCCCAGGAGCAGGGCAATGGGCACCACCATGGACCTGGATGCTCAGCAGCAAAACACCTTGCTCAGAGGCATCGTTAGGTTCATTAGTGAGCCAGTCCTGTTGTGTTTGCAACCTCTTTTCAGGATACTGTGAATCGGCCTCAGCAAGTCCCATAAGAACCAAGGGCGGACTCCTTACTTAGCTCTTATATGAGCTTCTACCTCTATGAGCTTTGCCACGCAGCCCAGCCCCAGCACCAACCTGGTTTATTCACGCATGTACAAGGAAAGCAACACTAAACACCAGGCAACACACCAAATAGCAAAGTCCTCCCTCCTGCCATGCCAGGATGCTCAGGTTATGTGCAGCTTCCCAGTACCCAGGCTCAACACAACTGGGATCCACTGGTTTCCTCATGATTCTCCCAACCCTTCCCACAGGACACCCAAACCCACTGTAAGAAGCAGAAGCCTCTGCCCTGTCCTGAGCCCCACACGCAGCCCAGGAACGCAGCCTTACCTGGGGGGGTGGCCCGGGCTCAATGGGGACTCAGCGCCAAGGGGGCAGCAGTGGAAAACATATGAGCAGCCCTTGCATGGCATGGAGCTTTTCTGGCTCCCAGCAGGAAATTAGGGTTAATGGGAACAGCGACCAGTGTTACTGGGTGTGCTTTCAGGTGTGTTTCCAGGTGCAGGCAGCTTCTCTCCCTGTCTCTCCTCAGTGGGCTCAGCTGCTGCTACGGGGCCAGCCTGGGCACTGGCACAGCTGGAATGAGAGGCTGCCACCCTTGACTGTGCAGAAGGAGCGAGCTGTGGGTCAGCACCCAGACCCCCCCTTCCCAAATAAAAATCCCTGGGGATTTTTATCACTGAACTATGAGAAGCTGCAACCTGTGATGCAGATGCCCCAAGCCACCCCAGCCCCTGCCTGCAGGTGGCAGGCCCCCTGCCATCCCCCTGCGCTGCAGTAATCCATAGGCTTCCTGCAGCCACTGTCACCTCGACCAGTGCGTTACAGCAGCAGCAGGGCTGGGGTGCCATGGCAGGGTCCGGGCAGGAGGATGAGGTGCCAGCAGGATACTCCCCAGCCCTCCCTGCAGCTCCTCTGTCACACAAAGCAGCTGCTGGTCCTCGACAGCCTCCTGGGGAAAGGAAGGAGAAATGCAAATACTTCTGCCTGGATACTGACATAACACTCTTCCTAGCACAATGTATGAATTCAGGAAGGCTTGTAATTACAGCTGAAATTGGTATTTAACACACTTTCAAGAGTTTTAAGAGGAATCTTGGTGCTTAAAACCTAAGTCTCCTGTCCCTTGAGGTTTTATTTCGCTTCTTGAGTGTTTACGGCCACCTCCCCTTAATAAAAAGAAAAAAACAAAATTCGTATTGTCTTTGAAGAGACACGACTTGAGGCTTCTTACCCTTCACCATCTCCCTTGACATTATCAAATATTCCTCAAGGCAAAACCTGCATCTCTCAGAAATGTGGGGAGGAAAGAAGAAGCAGAGTAAGTCCCCTGTGCGGTGCATCATCTCACACCACAGCCCCATTCTTTCTCAAAGGAGAAAATAATCATTGCACAGTAGACACCTTAAATCACTAAACTTTAATAGCCATATAAATCCTTTGCATACAGCAATCTGTGGCATATGAGAAACCATATAGATGCCCAACAACTTTTTTTGGCTTTTACCACATAAAACTATGAGCATTTTTTTTTTTTTAAATCAACTCCTGTAGTAGAAACAATAACCAAGCAATTAACAGCAAATTTCTAGTCTTCTAAACCAACAATGTTTCTTCTCTTAAAAAGAGCAGAGAAGCTGATGGGGAGTTTCGGATATCTGTACAGATCGGGGTACCTCGGCAAGATGGCGAAAAGATGGCTGTCAGCACCGCAAACGTGCATACCCAGTCTGCGGGGGGACTCCAGCAGCACCTAGTGTCAACCCCCAACGAGGGCTAGGGGTGACCAAGGGGCGACAGCCACCTGCTGATTTGCCTTCGAGAGGACCACACACCGCCTTGCCCTCCAGCAGCCTTGGGTCCTGCCGAGACCAGGACCAGCCCCTCCCCCTGGGACACGCAGTGAGGGACTGCACCCGGGGAGATGCAGGATCCGTCACTGTACGTCACCTTGCAGGCTGCAAAGCATAGCTTGTCTGCATTGCCCGTTTCTATCTATAGGAGTTATAATCAAGAGGACACACAAGCGCACTGTACCTTTCCATGCCACCGCCCAGCGCCTCGCAGGCGAGCTGTCCCCCTCCTCGCCACCCAGCAAGCCCAGGAGCCCGCACCCCCGCATTATTCACAGAACACAGCCCGCTCCACCCCTCACACCTTGTTTCGGTGACGTCAGCATTCACAGAATTCACGGAATTCATTAAGAAAATCATTATTTACATCAACGTGTTCAGCAGCATACATGGCCAAAGAGCTGAGACAAGAGTTCGCCAGAGTTTGTTGACTTGCACCCTGCCCACAGGCTTATTGCTCACTCAGGCTTGGGGACCAGATCACCCGGGTGGTCTCCAACCCTCCAGTTTGCACAACGGCGGTGAAGCTGCTGTCTGCACCCCAAGTTTTCACTTGCTATGTTCACCTGCAGGGGGAACCATCCCTTGGGCAAGGCAGGCTGTGTGCGGATGCTGTACCCTGGGCAACGTTAAGGCATTACATATATGCAGGAGCTGTTTGGGGATTTAAAAAAACCCACTCAAAGTGTAAACATTTTTGCACATACAGTCATTGGACTTCCACGCATGAAGTTTTCTGTGTTTTCTGCATAAATCATGAGTTAGGGAGCTACACAAAGAGCACTCGAGTAGATGCCTGGAGCATTGGGGTTCTCTTACAGCACGGCAGCATGCAACGCAACAGACTCTAAGTAGTAGAAATATTGTAAGTCTCAGTCCAGGACGCTTCCTCCTTCCTACGCTTCTTATATAGTTTAGGTAAATGTCATTAACAACTACGGGCCGGTAACTTGGGTAAGATGGGCAGCTGCGTAAGGAGCTTCAGCACAAGGCATGGCTAGTGCTTGGTGATTTCAGCTCGTTTCTACTTTTATCTCTAAGTAGAAAAGGGAGAGATTCTGCTTCCATTCCTGTATCTATGGAGGTTGCTCAATGATCCCTAGGTCGCTGTGCCGGCGGTGCTATAGGTTTAGGTATCAGTGATTCTGTCTTCCTCAGGGACTTTGGCACATTCACCCCGATTTGTACAAGATCCCTGAGAACTTATCAAAGCTGTAGTACTTTACAATTTAAAAGACCCATTGTGGGTGCTCGGTTCCCCACCACGGCTCACGCCTGCTTCTTGTTATTGTCTATGATGTGCAGCAGTGCCAAGAACTCCAGGATGAGGTTGGCCGTTTTGCGGGGCCGCTCCACCACCACCGAGTGCCCGCAGTTCTCCAGGATGTACACGTGGCAGTCCGGGATAGCGCTCGCTAAAACACTGGCACCGGAAACATCCAGGACCTGGGTGGCAGGGGAAAAAATAGTCACTCCCATGGGCAGAGCTAGGTTTTGCTGAACACTGTAGAAACCCCATTGGAGCTGCCTCTGCAAGCCCAAGTGAGATGTTGTGCAGGGATGCGGACACAGTCCTTGTGGTGCCAGCCCCATCCTGTGGTACCCACCCGTGGGGACGGGACAGGGAGGCTGCACAGCGCTGGCCTCAGGGAACACTCTTGGATGCTTTTTAGCTGCCGGCTCAGGGCAAAGAGGTCATTGCAAGCGAACATCTGTACCTTTGCATTTACAGAGCCCTTTGCATGCCTGTAGCTTGCCTCCTTCCCTCTCCCACTCCTCCCTCCATAAGCAGCCCTATGAAGCCCCATGCCTTTGCCTCAACGCCTGCCCACGAACAGTACATCTCTCCCCAGTTACCAGGACAATTCTCTTTGCTGGCACTTTCTTCCTCTTCCCAGCCCACGCCTGCTGCGGTGTTGGCACCGGCCCTCCGCCTGCCCCCTCGCCCTCCCCAGCCCCGGCTCTCCCCTCTTCCCTCTCTGGCCTCATGCTGGCTGTCAGCTTTCTGCCCATCACCACACTGAGCCCCCGTGTCCAAACCCACCGGGGACAGCAACACACGCATGTCAGCTCGCAGCAGAGCAGTGTACAGCTCGGCAGCACAGCCCCTGCCGTGCCCCCATGGGCAGAGATGGAGACACGGTCCCATGGGGGAGTCAGAGGGGGCCGTATACCTGGTCCTGCTTTCCCCAGATGACCTGCGTCGGCACTTTGATCTTGCTCATGTTCTCATGGAGAGAGTGCCTGGACTTTTCATCCACGATTTCTAAAAACACTAGTGGGGGCAAAAGGAGAGTCAGTCCTAGAAGGGGGATGCTTTGCTCTCCCTTCTTGCAGGGGTCCCTCCGGGCCAGCCCTGCCAGCGTCCCCTCCCTGGAAAACCCAGGCAGGGGTGATGGGCAGAGCCCCAATGGGCTGTCCTTGCACTGCCACCAAACCTCGCTGCAGAGAGACTGCCCCCTCCAAGCCCATCTCCTCATAGATATTAGCACTAATTAACCCAGATGGCAGGATGAGGGTGAAGTAGCAAACCCATCGCCCATGGGGGTAACAGTGTATTGTTACCAGCGACCAAGGTGCATCCCCAAATCTGTTAACGACATTGCCCCCTCCCACCCTCAGCAAGGCAGCAGGGGGGTGCTGGGGCCAGGCAACATGCAGGGGACACCGGGGCCGGGCACAGCCCGTCCCCACACCCTGGGGGTCCAGCTGGAAAGCCTGGCGAGAGGGGCTGCCACCGCGCACTTACGTTTCCGGTAAAAATCATTGTGTGGGATGCGAACGTCGACAAGGCCCTGGAGGATCTGCAGGGAGAGCAGAGGAGAGCTGCTGGGGGGGACCTGCACCCCACACGGGGCTAAGTGTGCCCAAGAGCACCCGTGAGCGCAGCAGGCGGCCATGAGTGTGCCCCCACCACCCCGACGTGCCCTGTGCTGCTTGGCCCCAGCACGAGCACCTTCCTAAGCACGTCTGGTGGTCACAACCATGCTTGAGTAACGCATATTTCAGCAACAAGTATTTTTGTCTTTTATGATGCAATCCCAAATTCCTCCCCCAGGCCAGCTATCCACCGCCAGCAGGCCGCCTCAGCCACGACTGTGCTTTTCTTCCTTCTTTTATTCTTTTGCCAAAAAATAAAAAAAAAGGTCTTGGCGTTACCTTACATTTTTTTTTTACTCTCCAATCTACTCATCCCAGACTTCCTAAGGAAAACCAGCTAAATGGCCAGCCCCTCGCCAAGTTCCCCTCACCTGACAATGAGGTGATTAACATTTCCATCGCTTTTGCTTCAAAAGCAGCAAAAAATCCTGCTCCAGGCCAGACAACAGCCGTCTTAGTTATTTAATGCTTCCTGCCAGCCATATTTACTTAAAAGCCCTTCAACATCCTAGCCTGTTACCAAAGACCTTGTGGGAGGAGAAATTTCAGCAGGCGGTGCCAGATGACGGTGGGAAAAGTGAGTTTGAGGGGAAAGTGCTGGAAAGTTCCTGGGAGCAGGCCAGGGTGTCCCATCTGGGTGATGGGGAGATGGCAGCACCGGCTCCACTCCTGGCATCACCTCAGCTGCCACCATGCAGTCATGGG